CTCACCAGGGCTAGGGGAGATGAATCTGGATGTTGGCTGTATGATAGCTCCCAAACGAGAACGGTAGCTCTGTGCAGTGCCAGCCCTACACATCTGGAGCCAGATTCTTTGCTGGCACAATGGAGTCCATGGAAATGGAGACGTAGGAAACTACCGCTCTTTCTCCTATCAATAAATACATCTGAGCTTTCTGCATTGCATAGAAAAGGCAAGAGACGGGGGATCGCCAAACAGCAACACACTTCCTCCAAGGAACTTTACAGCCCCCGTTGCACCTCCATCTTGCTCCCCCTTGATGGGGAGCAGAATGCTCCTCGCTCACCTTCCCATGCGTGCGTGTGTGTTTGCACAATGTTCCCCATCCCTCACTCTGCGTGTAAAGCGTGTCACCGGACCTTTAAATAATGATATCAAGACGACTTGTTTATCAGGCCGATTCCTCTGAAATCATAAAAGCATTAATAACGTCTGCCCGTTCCCGAGCAAGCTGGCACATTTGCATTCCTTTAAAGGACAGCATGACTTTCCCAGGGTGAAGCCTTCCCTTTTGCATCTCTAATTCGAAGCTGGTTCCAGAGAGATTTTTACCGGCTGGAGACTTTGCCATCCCCTTGTCATGGGGCCTTTGCTTTTAAAGGAGCGAGGGAACAAGAGCATGAGAACGGACGGGAGGAAAAACACGCAAGCAAGGAAAGAATGGGGTAAGCGAGTCTGTTCAAAAGTGTCCATTTATCCATCAAGGTGTATTTGAGATATAATTTCTGTTGATCAGTGATAGCTATGTGAGCGCTTGTGTCTCCCAGAGAGATAAAAAACCTAGCTGGCTGGGGAGAATACATGTGTAACGATGGGCAAATTGAGCACCGGTAGATGGTGAAGGAGCAGAGAGGCATACAGCATATACCAGAGGAGCCCACACCTTGCTCCAAATCAGGGGCTAGAGGAGGGAACAAGGGAACAAGGCGAAGGATGAGAGATGATCCCTGCATTGCGTCCAGCTTCTGGACTTGTCGAGCCAATGGCGAATGTATCCATGACCACTGGCTGGTTTCCTTTTCATGACGAGAGAAGGGCCCGAGTCACGAAGGTAAGGTCTGGACTTGGGCTGGAGTCTGAAGCCTGCAGACCTCAAGCTCCAGGAGAACAAGGAGAGGAACTGGTGGTTTGCTGTGGGATCGGAAAGCAATTTTGCTTTTTTCGGTGCTGTGAGCGCCGAACGTTGAAGAGGCGTTTTGACATTTTTGGCTTCTCGGAGGGGATCGCTGCTACAGGACACCGAGCTAGATGGAGCTGGGCCTCTTGCACAGCCTCAAACCCTCCATTGTCATTCAGAGACAGGCCTGATTCAGACCCTAGAGTATAGGGACGTTTGGACCCACAGCTTCACTAGCTAGGAGGAACGCCCCCCGGGGCCAACCCTGCTTGCAGTTAACGCTCAACCTTTTCCTGCCGGTAACTTCACCAGCACCCAAGTTGCAAGTTCTGTCAGAGGCAAACGAGTCCCTTTCCCAGCCCTCGTACCCATCTGTGAAAATGTCTGATGGTAGCAAATGCCCACTCTCCGCGTTGGATGCAACCCTACAAGATTATATTTCTGCTGCATCCGAAGCCCAGCTGACTACTTTAGTTTGAGCAGTTCCTTCATTTTTGATGGATTTGTGCTGACAACCCCCCTAGGCACTGGGGAAACCCTGTTACCATCATTGTAGGTATGGAAAAGTGAGACTCAGGAGGGTGAAGGGACTTGCCTTGAGGTCACCCAAGGAGTCTGTAGCAGAGGCACTTCTTAGACCCACACCTGCCCAATACCACACGTAGCACCCCAACCACTGGTCCTTACAGCCTCTCAACAGCTCATTTGTTTTAAGGAGCTCGTTTGGAGACTAAATCTTCAGTTCATTGTTATTAATTTCGTTCTGCACTTTGTCCCTAATCCTCGCATCAATACAGTTCCTTGTGACCAAAAGGCTACGCCAGGGTCTCAGCGCTGTAGGTCCTCTGCCACTATCAAGTCCATGATCAAATAAAACTAGACCTCATTAACATACAACCTTTGCTTCATTCCTATGCAAAATGTAACTGAGGCTTTTACTGGAGAAAAAGAAAAGGGCAGAGAACCCATCTCATTGTCAGGAATTTTAAGAACTAATTGATCTTAGACCTGGTAGTATCTGCCAGCGCTGGGTCTCAGGGTGGGGTGTCCTATTTTAAATACAAGTCTTAGCCTGCAAGATTTTGTAATAGCGGTATTAGTACTCAAAATGGTTTTCCACCATAGCTTACAAGGCACTTCTGGAAGCACTCATGCGTTCCCAAGACAAGGGCAGAGCAGGCCGAATTAGTGCGAGTCTGCAGGCGGGCGGGACAGATTAATGTGCCGCTGAGGCCCCTCTTACCAAGCAGCAAAATGCAAAGCCAGTCCCCGTGGCCCCTGTCCCCTGCATTGGCAGGGAGGCCTCTTCTACTGCAAGTTACAGTCATACCAACAAAGAGGGATTTGAAACCAGTGGAAAAAACCCTGTATGAAGACTCTTTACTCTACTTAACCCTGGCTTATGTCAATTTAGCTTCACTTGAATTAAGAGTGTCTGGAAATCCTTTGTGTAGGTTTGACTCAAACCACATTTTCAGCTGAATTCAAATTCAATGGAACAACTTGGGATTAAAGGCTACCCAGTAGCCCATGCCCTAGGGAAGGTAGATGGGGAGTTTCTTCTCCTGCCTCCCATCTCAGCACTCAGGGAGCAGGGACATGTGACGGCAAACTAAAAACTAACAAAAGAAACTGCTTTGCCGCAGAGCACATCATTAGACTCTGGACCTCCCTGACACAGCCTAGCCCCCCGGGGTTGGGTACTTCGCAAGATGTAGGGAGAGATCAGCCATCGGCATATGTGACGTACACAGCCAAGGCCACCAAAAATGGCTGAAGTGAGATTAAGCACTCAAGACAATCTCTAGTCAAGGCCAGGATGTGGGGGCAGATTATCCTACATTTGCTTACACTTTGCTCTGAAGCATCTGGTGCTAGCAGTGGCCAGGGACAGGAGACTGGGCTAGATGGACCTTGTTGCCAGTCAGGCATTTCCTATGCTTTTCTCTATATCTTGATACAGGGTTGAAGCTTGACGCTGTGGCAACGGCGTGGGACTTGCCCAAGGTCACACAGCAAACCAGTAGCAGAGGCAGGACTAGAGGAGCAGTCTCCCGATGCGGATGACTTCCGGCAGAAACTTTGCAACGGAGGGTAAACAGAGCGCACGCGCAGTAAGTGTATATTATAGCTGTTAAATTTAAAGCACCCCCTTGATCCCGGGGTTTTAATGCTCAGATTGTGACAGGGAGAGAAGAGCCATGAAATTGCTATTGAGGCTTCTTATTTGAATCTTAACTCAGCCTTTCATGAGGCAGAGATGAGAAGACACGGCAGGGCCAGATAAGGACACGGGCTGATTTAAAGCAGAACTCCTTTCCTGGCACTAGTTTCACCCGCCACCTTCACATCCTTGAAGCATATGCTTTTTGCACAACCCATCCCATTTAACTGGGAAATCCTCTTAATTGGGCCACCTCCCACAGAACAGATTTAAGCCCAGTTATAATTAATATTGCAGCCATATGCTACAGGTGCACGTGCACTACTGCCCTCCCCTGGTTGGCACCAGAACTACTGCTCCATGTGTCCTGGGGCCTACACTGCAGACGTACTTTGGGTTTCTCTTCCTGGCTTAGGTGGCAAGTTTCCTAGGCTGCCTGGTCATGAAAGCTGAGTTTTATCCCTACCAGTGCTGGTGAGGAGAGGGGCTATAATGAGATGATGAAGCCCACCTGGCTATGGGTTAGTTGCAAAACCAGCGACTCCTATTTAATAGGAATGATAGATTTAATTAACCAGAAACCCTATGTGTGCGTATTATACGCGAGAGCTTTCCAGTGATGGATGTGTATGTGGCCCTAGAGCCCAGATTCAGAATAACAACCAGACAATTTATGACACAAAGAGTTTTCACTGAAAAGTTGAGTTTTGTCAAAAACAACCAAAAAAGCATCCCCCTCCCCATGACAAGTCTCATTTGCAACAAAACCCCTTGGGGTTTTGCTGAAAAACTAACACCTGGGGAAAAAATGGCAAAAATTTGGAATAATAATATTTGGAGCTAATGAAAAATTGATGAAATGTTTTGCCTTTGTCAAAATGTTTGGGGGGAGGGGGGCTCCACTCCTATATACATAAAATTAACAGGATCCAGGAGTCCTCGCCCCCAGTCCTGCTGCTCTTAGGTGCTAGATACTAGGCACTATATCTAGACTCCAGCTTTTTAGTTCCTACTTCTTCAGTATGCACTTTCTTCCTCCCCTCCTCCAGCCAAGGGCAGAAGGGAAAAGGCCCATTCTCGCACCGGCTGTGACTTGGGCCTCCTACAGAGACTCGCTCCCTCCTGGGAGAATCGCTGCTCTTCCAGGAGAAACCACAAGGGTGCAGGCTTTTTCTCCCAGGGTAAAAATGGCTGCTCCAGGAGCAAAATAACCTGGGAACCACCAGGGTTACATCACTCCTGGGGTCTTTCTGTAACAGGTTGCAGACTCTCCAGGCTTGGAGCAGGGCGATTCCAACTCCTCCTGTTGCAACTCTCCTGGGAGAGCCAAGGTCTTCCCATGTTACAACCAGTAGTCCCGGAGCTCTTCCTCGCCTGTCCCGGGCGTGCTGCCCCCCCGCGCCGTGCCGGGTGCGGGGGCGGTGTCGGGAAAGGGGAGGCGCTGCGGGCCGGGGCCGGGGCTGGGCTTCCCCTCGCGAGTCATTGCCGGAGAGGAGCCGGAGCCGGAGCCGGAGCCGGGCGGGGAGGCTGCTCCCGCCGCCGGGGAAGGGTTAAGCGCCGCCGGGGGTGGGGGGAGCGTCCCTCCCTCGCCGTTTGCGGCACGAAACCGGCTTAAAGGAGCAGCGCGCAGGATTACGGGGAGCGGGAGCGGGAGCGGGAGCGGG